CAACGTCTGCAGGCTTGCCACGTCATGGTTCTGAGTACTCAGTGTGCATGTGTGCATATAGACTAAGTGTTTCTCCGGCAGCGCAGGTGTGATTCACATTCACAACGTAGCTTCGACAGTTTTAATCCGTGGCAAGAATCATTCGAAACTGCTTATCGCCGCTGCAAACGCGCTTGTTTAATTAATGACGGTACCTGTTTAGCAATATGCCAATAGGTTTCATTGTCTTGTTTATCGAGCTTGCGCCCTGTTTTTTGTTTGGACTTGTCTCGGCTCGGCATGAGCCAAGGTTTTTACAAAACTGGGTCCGATTCCGGATCAAAACGGTGTCGAATTTTTGCAATATTCCGCACTGTTGACCTGGTTCATGTCACATGGATGCTACCCGGAACGAATGACATTTAGTAGTGATGGTGCAAATTTTGGGTCCAGACGCGTTGGTCCCCAGCGTGGCATCATGCCGAAAATCACGTGATCATGTAAGGACGACAAATGATGACGTCAATGTACATTTTATTGCTGCTTATGATTACATTTAGTTACCGGTACTCCTTATTTGTAAATACCAACATACCTACCTAACAGCTTTTGGGCTATCCAGCCTTGTCATAAACGTTCTGCACATTTTTCTTTGCAACTTTACAGCTTTGTACACTCTGTTTTTCTTAGCTCTAAGCTTTTCCTTTACATGTAGTTTGTATGCACATAGATCCACATGTTTACTCTAGCAATATATTTCATTGTGAGCATCTCGATGTCATCGCGACAGGCGTATTAATGGCCACAAAACGCCCTTCAATTTTTTGGTCATGCCCATAGTCAACAGGTGATATAAACACGCACGAACATACTACCTCGAAAGAGGGATAGCCCTAATCCTTGCAGAGCATGGCGCACCTCCTAGTGCGCCGAAATGGCTGCTGTTTGTTATCAAACGTCCATAGTTTCTGCGGGAATCAGCGTGGAGCTGCGGCGCACATTTTGAAACTACTTTGAATCCCATGCCAGATGAGGCCGGCATGGACCCGGCGCTGGCCGGGTTGATAGCGCATCGGACGCCCACGTGTGGGCCCAGGTACTTTTCCCGGCCGCGCCATGCCTTTTGAGCGCTAACATAGCCGATGCAGTCGCTGGCGCCCCAGAAAAGGGACGCGACGACGTGTGTTGTTTTTTCCCTAAAAAAGAGACAATATTTCATACCTTTTCCGCTTTACTTCACTCGAACAAGCTATGTGAAGAGGGCGGAGGATTTCTGGGGACAACAGCCATTTCCGGCCCACCGGATCGGTTCCCACCAGGCCTTGCTGCTGCAGACCGCTGCGGCTGTAGGCGTCGTCGGTCCATGGGAGACCTGACACTCCGCCGTGACGCAAGCGGCGTGCCGCTCGGCCGTCCCACGGGCGACTGACTCCCCGCAGTCCCGTGAGTCCTGTGAGAAGTCCGTCGCTTGTTGCCCTCGAGAAGCTGGAAGGCTGTGGTGAACGGATGCAGAGCCGCGGGTGGTGCTCCAGGATTGCCTTGCACCTAGCAACGCCAGGCCAGCACTTCCTGTTTTGGTCCATGAACTTTGTATTTTCATGTCTTTCCACCGTGCTCGGATAGGTTAGCTTTTGGACCTCTGAAAATGTGAGCCCGACGATGTTTGCCGATTCTAGTATGCACGAGACGCGATGCTCTCACCGAGCCAAAAACCCTCGGTATAGATTTGCCGCTCGCTTCAATTTGCATCTCCTCCCTCTTTTGTTTCACACACCGTGACAGAGTGGTATGGCATGTCCCATTAATTAAATGTGTGTTTTAGATTGTCTTTCTGGCCTCCACCGAAGGTACAGCCCGCCGAGCTGTCTGGGAGTCCCCCCCCCCCCCTCCCCTATTTGTGATCCCTGCCCTGTTGCGAGCCATCCCAAATCAAATAGGAATAAGATAGTCGTTTTGTCCAGCTACAACAGTGTTACAATCTACCCGAACAGGGTGTTACATTATGCCCCAAGTGCGGCCGCTATTTTGGAGAGGGAACTCAAGCATAATAAATAATAAGTTGCTGGTAACTGGGCCGCATGCTTGTGGACAAATGAACTATGCTTCGCCTGCAAAACTTTGTCCATCCATAGAGGTACGGTATGACCCTGACTTCCTCCCCCCCCCCTCCCCCCAAGTCTCATATTTAATACAGTGCTCAAAACATGTCTACAATTTAGGAGTAGCACTGGTCTACCATCGCCTGTCCCAACTTTGTTAAGCAGGGCAGAAAATGACTACGCATTTGCCGTCGTAAGCCAGATCCGACGGGCGGACAGTTGCAAAATGAAAGCTTTTGTTACATTTACCTCTCGCTAAAATTTACTATCGCCTCTCTCATCTGTCATGGAATGCAAGCATGTATTTTTTGCCAGCGTGGGCTAGGCAGACGTTGCGTTATAACGTCGCACTGCTAATGTGGCCACAGTCCCAGTCCGCACTTTTGTCAGCTTTTGGTCGATCCTCGTAAAGCGAATGGCAGTTATAGATATCGTCTTAGTGGACCCAAGGCCTAGCAGGTGATGGGCATCAAGCCCTGATAAACATAAGACCGCATCGAGGCATTACTCTTTGGATGATGCTCTCCTGGAGTCGCAAAGCAACCCGAAAGTAAGATCTTCATATGTATTAATGTCAACGGAGAATCCAAATGACAACAGGACGGCATGTCTGTGCGTCTCATGGGAGCTTATGTCTGCCTACTGATGTGCTGCATCGCTCCATGATGACTGTAATAAGCACCTTCTGTGGGGCATCAGTACTGTCCTTTTAAACCCGTCCAGGGCTTAAACTAAATGCCACACGGAGGAGCCTATATGTGTCAATGACTCACAAGCCAGAGCTGTCGCAAGATGAAGCATGCCATTATCGGTTGATGTATTCGATATTCTCTTGTGGCTGTGGAACAGTGTGTGCCAGTTTTTCTTTCCTTGACTAAAAGTTGCGGCGTTTGTATGCTACAAGTAAAAAGCACCGTCGGGGTAATTCACATTTGAATCCTATATGAATTTTAGCCAAAGTTTGAACATCGCGACTCCACTTCGGCGCTAGCGGCCGTCGTCTTCTTCAATGATCGATTGGGCCCAGTTCGATGTAAATCTTGTTGGAATGACTTCAAAGCCTACGTGGAGCTGAAGTCCTGACTGGGATGATTGAGCAGGTCAAAAGACGTCTGAACGGATTACAACCGACGGCAATTTATCCCAAATCACCCGAACATTGGGTGCCATGAGTGTCGACCGCGGCAGCGCGTTACTAGACTCTAACGCAGCCTTTGCACCGCTACTCACGCATTGTCCTTCATACTGCCGAATGTCACGCATTCTCCCAGATATCCAACGCACTCCGTGCACACATGCGGATCAGAAGTATAAAGCAAAATGTACGCTTGGCGTCATACTCTGCTGTTCGACGTGCATGTATTTTTATCCACATTTGCACAATCCAGCTCAGCAATGGTTACGTGCATCTTAACATTATAGATGTAAATCATCGCTGTTAAAGGGAGTACCCACCTTTTTGTACTTTCACTTATTGTTACATCAGACGCGTACGATTTGATGAGCAATACCAGTTTTTTTTCGAAATGAATGAAGTCGTTGACCCTGCGGGAGAAATCTCGTTTGACTCCCTGCTCACCACTATGAAAGTAAAACATTCATCTTGCCTTGGTTTTTCCCGCGTGTCCGTTCTGTAATATTTGCAACACACTAATGTGTCAAATGCTTGTGCAATAAATGCTACGAAGGCATTAAACACTTGGCTTTGACAAAATATATGCGAACACTGAATCTATTATTGCGCGAATTCAATGAGACATTGCATTATAGCTTTGATTCCTTTCCTACGGCGTTTACCACAGTGACTCTTTTCGAGGCGCACTTTGGCTTTGGGAATGGGGACATCATACGACCAATGTGACGCACTGGTTCAAACTGCAACCAACCGACTTATCGGTAACCGGCTTGTGTTCGCGCTGGACCAATCGCAGGAGTTTTTTTATTCGTATTAGTAGAGGTGCGTACGGTTGTTGCCGTCATGACATTCGTGACTGCAGGAAAGAAGCATAGTGTTGGTACAGTGTAATTTGCCAGCGTAATTTAGACCAAAAAATAATTAAAATCGATGTACATAGTTCGATACCTCTGTTTTGACAGTGCTGCAGTGGCACTACCCAGTGTTGTTATCAGACGTAACAAGTACTGATGTTTCAAGAGAGTATGCTTTTGAAATGTGACCCAAAGGTGGGGCACTCCATTTAATTGTGAAGAACATGATCGAGGTGTCACACGAGAATGCTACCTATAGCAGAAGTGTAGGCTAGCGATATGTAACACAAGCTTGGTTTTGGCTTAGGCTGTCCTGCCACGGTATATATATATATATATATATATATATATATATATATATATATATATATGTGTGTGTGTGTGTGTGTGTGTGTGTGTGTGTTTTGAGTTTCAAAGGATGAAAAATTGTGCACTACTGTTGGAAAACATCTTTTGGTACGGAGAACATGAATGAAGCATAACTAATTGAAGTAAGGCAGATTGCTATTTATATATACATACACACACACACACATATATATATATATATATATATATATATATATATATATGATTTTGCAGGCTAAGAACTAACTTATAAAGTAGTCTTGTACGGTCATGCTGCAGCCGGGCTGCCATGGCCAAAAAGCCCGAGCTTTACTGGCTACATATCGGGTACAGTGTATCAGCCCCAAATCCCAAGCTTTACTGGCTACTTAACCGGTTACATTGCAAACGAGACGCTTGGTAAGTGCTGGGGATGAGGTTGCAGGGAGTTGGCCATTTGCCATGGGAACCGGCGCTAGCTGCGGTAACTCCTCGGTTCAGCGCGCGATACGATTGATTAGCATGTTTCATGAGCAGGGTATAAACTACAACTGGAACTGAGCAGACTATCTACTTGTGTGTATTGATAAAAGGGAAACAACCCTGAAAAGTCCCGTGTCATATATCATATATTCATATGTCATATGGCATGTGCCGTGTGCCATTTTTGTGACAAGAAAAAGCCCACATGGAAAAGCTGACCAGGGAAGACTCAATAGATTAGGCTGGTCTATCAAGTATATAGAAGATGACGCGACGCTTGAATGGCTCGCTGATGTGCTGAACACAATCATATCACGGATTTTACTGGCCCCACCTATAGCACGTATGGAGAGCAACGGCCCGCCCTCTGTCGGCTAGCAAGGGAAGCAGCCAGTGAGCCGCCCCCCCCCCCCCCCCCGTCATTGCACGCTCACATTGTCGTGTAACCCGTGCGCTGACTTTGCTTGACACCGAGCCCTGTTCCCAGTCCGTCACCACCTCAGCCAGGCGCTACTGGATCTTGGCCTTGACTCGGCCAGGGGAGGTGGCCCGGCCGACCCTTGCGCCGCAGTGCATGCAGCGCCGGCAGCTCAGCACCGCCAGCGTCAGCACCGCAGCCAGCACCGCCGCGAACATAGCCACCACGTCCAGTAACCAGTATTGGTACCAGCGCAAGTGTCCGTCAACGATGCGAAGGTGGTGCGGCGTGCCGAACTTCGAGACGAGCTGGATCCAGTGGAGGGCGCGGTCGGTGGCTGACTCGCGTTCCGTCCGCCAGATGTCAGCCACGCGGCGCACGTTGTCGCGGTACCTGCCGGCGCGGCCACGTTACCACCTCACTCCCGGCGGGGCACCGCTGAGGCGCGCCGGTCCAGCGGCGCACAACGGTCCACGCGGAGAGGCTACGATCTCTGACTGCTGAAGGGTCAGTCTCCGAAGTTTTCGGCCAGAAGGGACGCACCTTGATCCGCATGCTGGAGCCAGGCATACATTCGACTTCAAAGAAGAGTAAAGCCTGGCCCGCGCCGCGCTCGTTATGTCTACTTTCGTCCGTCACCACCAGAACGTCGACCGATCACGGACGGAGTAAGCGAAATACAATGTATATGTTCACACCGCTTCCGTGTCTTTGAGGCTGATCGCCCCCGCTCACGTTGTTAGTGACACCCGGCAATGACAATTGTTAGACATAAACAGGCATGCACGAGCGCAGTGGTGAGCGGGGGGGGGGGGTTTATCATGACAATCATCACACTTTTATACGGCTAAATCATGGTACGCGCAATTGCTGAACAAAATGTGGGGTGATTGTTATGTCGGGGCTGCATTCGGCGCGGTCACAAAGGCTTACTTCTCTGTATAGAGCAGCTTGTTAAGTGACTCCATGAGGATGTCTTCCGTGAGGCCGAACTTGTCCAGCCCAATGCCCAGTTCACGGAAGTGCATGAACTTAGCATTGTCTCCCTGGTCACCGAATATGGGCACTCCGACTGAAACGGAAAAGACGGCGACAGTAATAATAAAGACAGGCAGTGGACGGCAGGCAACAGGCAGCAAATCAAGACAGGATAGCTCACCATGAAATAAGGTTAATGTCTTCTGCAGCAAGTATGGGAGCTCTGATACGTCCGATTTTAATCTTCTTTTTTTCGTTAAAGCGACGCCAACCCTGCCGAAGCCCGTACTTACGGAGTGGAACGCCGTGATAAAAGGCCTCCATAATGCCGTTCATGCCGCAGTGACTGATGAAGGCTCGAGTCTGTGGGTGTCCTTTGGAGGAAACAACGTACATCGTTATGTTTGATAGAGTCTCACTACCTTGGAACAACGACCACGACTTACTGTAGCGTCAGAAACTATTTTTTATCTACTCTTGAAACGACCCAATACCTGCTGTGTGCGTCGTTAGACCACAAAATACCTCCATTCACATAAATGCAAAGCTATGGCCATAGACCTGTCATGTCCATGATAGGTCTATAGGTTGCGCCATAGACCTATCATATGGCGCAACCTATCCGCACTCGTCCGAACGCGGAGGGGCGGCTCTTTGCTGGTCTCACCGAGGACGTCTATTTGCGGCAGCCACTCCACCACCTTGACGTTGTCGGGGATGGTGGACAGCCGAGAGGCGGTGAAGCGCATCAGAACCTGGTGAACCAGTCGGAGCCCATCAGTGCAGTACGCCGTGATGAAGAGCGGCAGCAACGCCTCTGAACGGCAGCCAGGGCTCTGAACAACAGCCAGGGCTTTGAGCGACGGCTAGGCCTTTGAACGACAGCCATGCCCCTGAGCGACAGCCAGGCCCCTGAGCGACAGCCAGGCCTCTGAGCGACAGTCCGGACTCCGAGCGACAGGCAGGCCTCTGAGCGACAGCCAGGCCCCTGAACGACAGTCAGGGCTCCGAGCGACAGCTACGCCTCCGTGCCGATCGGGCGCCGCAGTCATGGCCCAAAATAGATATTAAAACGTGCACTCCGCCAGTATCCATGTCTCTTCCTGAAAGAAATCACCGAGCCGAAATCCCTGCATGCTCTTTAAGAACATGACACACCAAGTAGGTAGCAATCGCTTCATTTCGTTAAAATAAACCAGCCAGATTGCGCATGGCACAACCAACTTCCCTTGTACACGCAGGCATGGTACGGTTCAGAGGTAAGTTTTGAAGGACATATTAGTACCTATAGAAACAACCGCCCTCAGGTGCTCAGCAGCCAACACTCTATCCATACGTTAGATCCTCGTCAGGGTGTGGTCTTCACCGAACAGGTGCTTTTGAAATTAGTAATCGGCCACCAAAAAGGGCATTTCGTGCACTGAGACATGATAATACGCGGATACCAAGGACAAAGGTTAAAAAAGCAATTAGCAGACACCCACGCTTAGGGATATACACAAGGACATCACACAGCCCCACACCTTCTGTTTGAGCTTGCCGAAGACGTTCATGAATGCGTGGATGTAGTCGTCCGGCACCGACAGCGCCTCGTAGCCCGTGATGCCGAGGCTGAAGACGATGACGCCGTGCTCGCCAGCGCTCTGCATGAAGTCCTCATACTCCTGCGCGTCGGACAGAGATCTCATTGGTCCAGCGCTCTTCCACCACCCACTTGGATGCCAACTGTGGCCCGCTCACGCTGTCTTATCCAGTGCCCACTGTCATACCACGCTGTAGCGCTGGACCTTGCCTGCCACAAAAGTCCTCAGCAAGTCAGAAATTGTTTATGTTGATTTTAAGGGCCAACAAATATAATTTCATACTGTTTGATATCATACCATACATCGGACAGTGAACCGAAATTGTGTGTAAGGTATTGGCCGATATGTAATAAATAATTTAGATCGATTCCTCAACGGTCCACGCTTTTGCTGCCAACGACGCCCCAATTGTTTTTTTTTTCCACAAATCATTCACGCACAGCTCTTAAGCATATGCGCCATCTTTTCGCCGTGTCATTTCCCGGCCATTAATGGTGACTAATGCCTTGGTACTTGATATGTAAGTCGTGTGGTAACGTGGCTTGGTAACCAGGAGACGGCTGAAACATTTTCTGTGGATGTTTCGCATTTAAAGATATTGGAAGCAAAGATCAGATAAGACGAAACAAGCGCACTTAAGTAAATATGTTCTTTGATACGTCATTGTTTGGTTACGTCCCCGAACCTTACATAACATTCATTGAGAGCCAGTTGACGACCGTTATATCCAAAAATTGGGTTCACGAACGCCAGATATGAACGATTTGACCATGATTTTTTCTCGTTTTTGACCGCTGCATGACATATGGATTGGCAGGATTTGAATGCCATTCAAATGGTGTCATGAATGCGTAAGTGGCCTGGAAATACTCTCCCCGAAATACTCTCCCCGAAATGCTCTCCCCGAAATACTCTCCCCATTATTGCGGGCGTGTGGCTCAGAAACTGGTAACTACGAAAGTAACATCAGTGTGACTGACACCTCGGATACAGTGCCACCTATCGGCTGCCTCCTCAAGTAGATGACACCAGTCACCACCCAATCATCCAGCGTGCCGTCGCATGAGAGCGATGGTGCAGAACCGGGCCGTCATGACCAACAGGCGCCCAACGGACGGAAACGGCGAGTGGCGGCAGCGCCAGCCATTATCGCGAGGATGGCGAGTCATGTCATCCGTCGGTATAAGCTTTTGGAGGGCGATATGCTGACATACGGCCGGAATTGCATTCAGATACGGTCAGGCTTGTTGTTGGGCGGCGGAAGTGAGGGCGGCTCTAATCACCCATCCGTGGGTGCGCCTTTGACACTAGGGTATGCCCCACAGACTGGGGGCTCCCTGCCGGCTGGTACCCTGCGCGTCGAGGTAGGCAAGGTGGTGCGTTACCTCAAGCACAGCCCATCTGCAGTCGCAGATGCTGCTGCTACTCTCATTACGGCAAAATGGCACACCCATGACCCCGCTACGGAACCCGGGTTCATCGCACAGTTGAGCTTAGTAGGTAGCAACAACGCCTTTTCAGATGGTCACCGCGGAGTTGACTTTTTCATCCGCCATCTGTTTTTACAAAACATGCGTGCGGAACTATGTACGTACGTCTTGGTGCTTTTATGTGGCGCGTATGCGATTGTACTCGCTAGACTGACGGTTTGGAAAGTACCCTCACACACACACACCACACACACAACACACACACACACACACACACACACACACACACACACACACACACACACACACACCACACACACACACACACACACACACACACACACACACACACACACACACACACACACACACACACACACACACACACACACACACACACACACACACACACACACACACACACACACACACACACACACACACACACACACACACACACACACACACACACACACACACACACACACACACACACCACACACACACACACACACACACACACACACACACACACACACACACACACACACACCACACACACACACACACACACACACACACACACACACACACACACACACACACACACACACACACACACACACACACACACACACACACACACACACACACACACACACACACACACACACACACACACACACACACACACACACACACACACACACACACACACACACACACACACACACACACACACACACACACACACACACACACACACACACACACACACACACACACACACACACACACACACACACAAAGATACATATATATATATATATATATATATATATATATATATATATAGATGGACATTGTTGAAGAACCAGGGCACATTCAGGTTTAATGATCTGTTTTCTGGGTTTGCTCGATCGACCCCATATTTCATTTAACCTCGTTTGGCAGGTACAATGGCTGCACAAAAATACATGTTCTGCCAGCTTTTACCAATGCATGTATATATATATATATATATATATATATATACATGCTTGCGTTGCCTGCATTGCTATGTGTGTAGATGATTACATTTACATCGTGACTGCATCAGCAATTGGTCGGCCGCAGGTTGATGTTCATGGCAATAAACAATAAACCACCAACCCCGCCCGAGCGGCGTGCGCTTGAAGCCGGCGCCGACGGACGGCAGCCAGGTCAGTCTGACCTTAGGTAGCGGCCTGGCCTCCCGACACTGGGTGCAGCCGATCATCTGCACGTTAGGCGGCAGCAGGACGGGCTGAGACGCCAGGAAGTTGGTGTGCACCAGCACCACGGCGATATTGCTGACCAGGGAGGCCGCGCGCGGCACCTCGGGGTAGTACTTCTGTTGGCGATAACATCAGTGCCAGAAGCGCAACGGCAGTCGCTGGCTGCGACAATACAAATGACGGAACAGAACATGCCATTTCAAATGCGAGCGGAGTGCCGTGGGGCAAATGTGGATCAAATGCCAGCGGAGTGCAGTGGGGTAGATGTGGATCATTTACGTGTTAAATTGCTTACTTGCCGCCGCCTTCTTCGCAACTTATGCCTCCTTGTTTGCCTAATTGTATGGATATTGTTTTCGTCATTTGCCATTTACCGTGACATATAAAAGTGCGAGGGGGCCTAGTTGTAACAAGCAAACGCAAAACGCTTTCTGCTTATTCTATTGCGGCTCACTAGAAATCGTGAACGATGAATGTCATCAGAGAATCGCATTGCATATCAGATCGCATATGCCATGTGCACCGCATCTGCTGCACGTTATCCGAACACCAGGTACACTTCCCGACTAGACGTGACCCGATCCATGAGCTAACCTGAGCTGACGCGACCTGCACCGCCCACTCAATCTGGTCTGACCTCGATGTAGCCGTCGACGATGCGGAACTGCAGCTGTAGCAGCACCTTGTGAGTGATCATGCAGATGGTATTGTAGAGCCGCTCGCTGAGACTCATCTGCGGCCCCGTGTCCGACAGGAAGGTGGGGGTCACCGACGGCAGATTCATCGTCGACGTCGCGTGGCTCTGCCGGCACGCTAGACGTCAGTGCATGACTGGCGTCACGGAGTCGGTGTCAGCCGACGTTTCGTTGTGATGCCTACAACTAACCCAGCAGACGAATAGGCTGCCGATGAAAAATTACGATATTGTGCTGCAGCCGAATCCATTCCGCTTAGAGCATGTACTCCAACATTGTACATCGTCAGCAATCTGATAAGATGTTTGGTTCCGTGCTGCACCAAACAGTCACAGAAAAAGCTGCAATGTCTGAGAAATTCGATATCCATTGTCTGCTCCTACTAATTTTCCTGGAACGACTCACTGGCCGCCCATTGTGCTGCAAGGACGGATCACTGAGACCACCCTCCCCGCCACCGATCCTTTGACTGGCAACCTGGGCCGAAACCCACCTCTCCACCGACGAAGCTGAAGCCCCAGAAGCCGACCACGGGCAGCTGGAGCGCCGCGGCCAGCGCCAGGCCGCACTCGTTGGAGATGATGTCGACCAGGGCCACATCGAAGCGGCGCCGGCGCAAGGTCTCGAACAGCTGCCGATCGCCGAGCAAGTCCTGGCAGTGGGCGCGCGTCATCGAGAACACGTCCGTTGGCAGGCGGTACAGACGGCGGCGGCGCTGCCACAGCATGTCGGTCGGTGGCACGAACACGCCGTCGCGGTCGAAGTAAGACGAGCGCAGGTCCGAGTTGTTGACGCGGCGGCTGAACAGCTCCACCGGCGACTGCACCGGCTTTGACTTGCGGCTCAGCCATCTAAACAGAGCCATGCCGGCCAGAGGTTAGCACGCTACATGGCGAGAGCACGACGGCCACGTCTAGGTGATGGTGGTAGTGGGGCGGGAAGCTTTGGTGATTTCGCTTTTATACAACATTCTGTGTATCACGCCCAGCATCACGTATGCATGCAGTGTACAGTCCATATAGTCTCCGACATACATTTATCAGTCGCTATCATTTTAATGAATCACATCCGAGGCGTTTCGGCTAAATGCCACCTGCTCGAAAGATCGTAACAGTGAACAACTGAGGCAGCGAATCCATTATGGTGAAAAACGAAAACACGCAAATACAGCAAATGCTTTGAATCCTTGCATTTGCCAGTTAGATTTTCACACCATGTGGCCGTCCCAGCCCATTGATCAAAGATGATCGTTTTGTTTGCCGAAGATGCACCCTGAAGCCAGACATGTCTAGTTCAACGACTTATTTTCTGGCATTAGTTACATGACACTGGCAGATAGTTTTCACCTTCGCTATGGCCTTGCCCACCAAACGTCGGACAGGGCATCCCACTGGTGAGTAGTAGTTCGGTACAATGCAATAACAAAGAAATACGGAAAAGGTAATGAGGAAACAACAAAGAAATCCGGAAATGGTACTACGTGTCCACCACGTGACTGTAATCAATGGGGTCAGCGGGTGTGTCCCCCCAAGTTCCCAAGCTGGAATTCCTCCCCTGCAGTTTCCTCCGCATACTTGAAAACCATTCTCACTTCTTCCATTCAAAACAATATTTTTTGTTTCGTTTCCTCTCTTTACTCCGCTTCGAGCTCCTAAAAATTCTGATATGACCCCCACCCTCACCCCACCAACCATCGCCCTCTCCCACCCCGACCTTATTCAAACATGTTCGTATATTGAGCGCTATTGACGTCCAGCATAAAACTGAGGCCGAAAACGCAAAAACTTAAAGGTCACAGACAAGGTAATTCTTGCTGACATTAAATGTTACGCTTGCGCACGACGCCCCAACAAATTCGTAATGAGCGGAGTTGTGGTTATGGGTATCAATGGTGTGGGCAATACACATTCTTCTGACGTGCCAAGGTTGGCGGATCCATGGCTGGCGCACGACAGCGCGTGACCGTCGGCGCACATCGGCACACTCATGCGCACAAACCCACAATTGTCCGTTTCTCTCAAGCAGAATCTGTTAATTTACTGTCCCTGTGGCGCTAGGTCTGGACTACATCTGTCAATATCTACACCAGTTTTGATAAGTGTTCTTAGGCTTCTTCACAATGGGCAGTGCTCTTAAACTTCTCCGAAATGCCAAAACTTAACGTTTTTTTTTCATTAAATCGAACGGGGGTGAAATCAATAAAACAACTGGCTTGCAGAGCACGCAACAACTTATGCTGGATTAATTTTGGAGAATTGGTCTTCTTCTTCATTCCATTACCTAATAGCCTTACAATATCATTTCGTAACGGATATCTTAATTTAAATGCATTAGCATTATATTCAAAGTGCATTAGCTCACAGCAGGCGTGGCGGCTGAGCCGGGCCGCACACGTATATCGTAGCTCGGTCATTTGGAGTTTAACGGCACAGCGACATCAAAGCCATTACGTTTGTCACAGTTCCAGCAAGACTCACTGGGCCCTCGGCCCCCCCCCCCCCCTCCCCGCTACTGCATAGCCATGTCGACACCACCTATCCGAATGCAATCGAAGAATGGTCTGGTAAAATCTTTGCATCTCCCGTTTTTTATCCCATGTTTGTCATTGGGGACTTCGACACAGTTACCTGCAGAGGCTGTGTGGCGTCGCCTGCCTCTCACCCGATCAGGAAGGGAGGGCCCGCCGGGCAGCTCGGTCCATTCCACGTGACCGCTGATTTCAGCAATGGATAACCTACCTGAAACTTTATGCATTCGTTCTCCTACCCAACAGCCTCCAGTCCAGCCACACGTCTCCTTCGTGTGAATAGTAAGTGATGCCACACATTTCCTGAGTTCCCTGTACGTTCGTGCTGACCGGACTGCAACTGCCTGCGGTCGTAACCAGAGGGGGACGGAGACCTTCGCTCCCCCTCTCACAGGGGTCGAAGACGCCACCACTGCTGGAGACCCGCCTGCCAAGAGTGCCGCATGCGGCGGCGTGCCCCCGCAGCATCGGCGCCTGGCGTAAACAAGCTCGTTTAGCAGCGGCGAATGCAAGGCTGTTAACGTCGCCAGGTCACGCCAACCGCAGGGAGCGGCAATTTAAGAGCCGCGCCGCGCCGACCTCGCCAGGGCCGCCACGTGGCGTTCAGACCAAACAACAGTCATTCAGGGGAGTTTGAGCACCATGCGTTTCGTAGTTCAAAAGGAATGGCCTTGGCTGCGGCTCGAGGAACATCTGCTGTGGGGTCAGAGCATGGGTGCGATTTACTGCTACTTTGAAGGTCGGAACATGCTTTCGTGACCTCCACCACTTGCAATGAGCTCCAATCGCTTCATCAGCACTTGAATGCAAGCGCGTTCTGGTATCGGGGAGGCCACCTGAGTTACAGATGAATGGCGGAGGAAATCAACAGTTTGCCAAACGGTAGAATACCCCCGAGATTGAAGCATGCGTCAGTCGTCCCGTTCGGGGCACTGAAGGC